TCTTCAAATATTAGAATTTACACTTCGAAACATAGAATTTACTCTTCAAAACTTAGAATTTACTCTTCAAAATATCGAATTTACTCTTCAAATCTTGGAATTTACTCTTCAAACTTAGAATTTTCTCTTCAAAACTTAGAATTTACTCTTCAAAATATCGAATTTACTCTTCAAAACTTGGAATTTACTCTTCAAACTTAGAATTTTCTCTTCAAATGTTAGAATTTACTCTTCGAAACATATAATTTACTCTTCAAAACTTAGACTTTACTCTTCAAAATATCGAATTTACTCTTCAAATCTTGGAATTTACTCTTCAAACTTAGAATTTTCTCTTCAAATATTAGAATTTACTCTTCGAAACATATAATTTACTCTTCAAAACTTAGAATTTACTCTTCAAAATATCGAATTTACTCTTAAATCTTGGAATTTACTCTTCAAACTTAGAATTTTCTCTTCAAATATTATAATTTACTCTTCGAAACATAGAATTTACTCTTCAAAACTTAGAATTTACTCTTCAAAATATCGAATTTACTCTTCAAAACTTGGAATTTACTCTTCAAACTTAGAATTTCTCTTCAAATATTAGAATTTATTCTTCAAAATATCGAATTTACTCTTCAAAACTTGGAATTTACTCTTCAAACTTACAATTTTCTCTTCAAATATTAGAATTTACTCTTCGAAACATAGAATTTCTCTTCAAAACTTAGAATTTACTCTTCAAAATATCGAATTTACTCTTCAAATCTTGGAATTTACTCTTCAAACTTGAATTTCTCTTCAAATATTAGAATTTATTCTTCAAAATATCGAATTTACTCTTCAAAACTTGGAATTTACTCTTTAAAATATCGAATTTACTCTTCAAATCTTGGAATTTACTCTTCAAACTTAGAATTTTCTCTTCAAATATTAGAATTTATTCTTCGAAACATAGAATTTACTCTTCAAAACTTGGAATTTACTCTTCAAGATATCGAATTTACTCTTCAAATCTTGGAATTTACTCTTCAAACTTAGAATTTTCGCTTCAAAACTTAGAATTTACCCTTCAAAATATCGAATTTACTCTTCAAAACTTGGAATATACTCTTCAAACTAAGAATTTTCTCTTCAAATATTACTATTTACTCTTCGAAACATATAATTTACTCTTCAAAACTTAGAATTTACTCTTCAAAATATCGAATTTACTCTTCAAATCTTGGAATTTACTCTTCAAACTTAGAATTTTCTCTTCAAAACTTAGAATTTACTCTTCAAAACATAGAATTTACTCTTCAAAACTTAAAATTTACTCTTCAAAATATCGAATTAACTCTTCAAATCTTGGAATTTACTCTTCAAACTTACAATTTTCGCTTCAAATATTAGAATTTACTCTTCGAAACATAGAATTTACTCTTCAAAACTTAGAATTTACTCTTCAAAATATCGAATTTACTCTTCAACTCTTGGAATTTACTCTTCAAACTTAGAATTTTCGCTTCAAAACTTAGAATTTACTCTTCAAAATATCGAATTTACTCTTCAAAACTTGGAATTTACACTTCAAACTTAGAATTTTCTGTTCAAATATTACAATTTACTCTTCGAAACATATAATTTACTCTTCAAAACTTAGAATTTACTCTTCAAAATATCGAATTTACTCTTCAAATCTTGAAATTTACTCTTCAAACTAAGAATTTTCTCTTCAAAACTTAGAATTTACTCTTCGAAACATAGATTTACTCTTCAAAACTTAGAATTTACTCTTCAAAATATCGAATTAACTCTTCAAATCTTGGAATTTACTCTTCAAACTTAGAATTTTCTCTTCAAATATCAGAATTTACTCTTCGAAACATAGAATTTACTCTTCAAAACTTAGAATTTACTCTTCAAAATATCGAATTTATTCTTCAACTCTTGGAATTTACTCTTCAAACTTAGAATTTTCTCTTGAAAACTTAGAATTTACTCTTCAAAATATCGAATTTACTCTTCAAAACTTGGAATTTACTCTTGAAACTTAGAATTTTCTCTTCAAAACTTAGAATTTACTCTTCAAAATATCGAATTTACTCTTCAAAACTTGGAATTTACTCTTCAAACTTAGAATTTTCTCTTCAAAACTTAGAATTTACTCTTCAAAATATCGAATTTACTCTTCAAAAACTTGGAATTTACTCTTCAAACTTAGAAATTTCTCTTCAAATGTTAGAATTTACTCTTCGAAACATATAATTTACTCTTCAAAACTTAGAATTTACTCTTCAAAATATCGAATTTACTCTTCAAATCTTGGAAGTTGCTCTTCAAACTTAGAATTTTCTCTTCAAATATTAGAATTTACTGTTCGAAACATAGAATTTACTCTTCAAAACTTAGAATTTACTCTTCAAAATATCGAATTTACTCTTCAAATCTTGGAATTTACTCTTCAAACTTAGAATTTTCTCTTCAAAACTTAGAATTTACTCTTCGAAACATAGAATTTACTGTTCAAAACTTAGAATTTACTCTCAAAATATCGAATTTACTCTTCAAACCTTGGAATTTACTCTTCAAAATGTCGAATTTACTCTTCAAAACTTGGAATTTACTCTTCAAACTTAGAATTTTCTCTTCAAGTATCACGCTTGGCATAAAATGTTGCGAAATCGGCCAAACTGCCGATCATGAAGTTCAGCGGTCTTGCCCATGAGCATAGAAAAAATTCAAGATGGCGGCGATTAGGAGTGAATTGCAAAATCTGTTAGGGCGAATTTTTCATCTTGTGAAATAGAAAACTGTTGTGGATTATTGCGGAAACAATCGATGGGGACTGGTCAATGTGCGAAACAAACCTTCAATGAGAAAATCACGTTCGAATTAACAGATTGGCAAAGGCAAACTGGTCAATTTCTTTCTGTTGACATATGTTAAAATACTTCTTGTATAAGATTTAATTAAGTGATATCGAATGGATTTTGCTCAGGCGACGTAAAATAAAGATAACAGCTAAAACGAAAGTTTACATAGACCTACCGCTCAGTGTCAGGAGGCTTGTCTAATCTCTTAATTTCGCAGTCTACTAGTGTTGGCTTAATCAATATATAAGGATGGATAATTTGTAAGCAACTATATTGAATTTTTGAAAGCTTTCACACATTGAAAGGAATTACAGTATCATGTCTGTGCTAACAGTTGAAACAGTTATAAATATTTTTGAATTATGTACTGTACATGTTAATAAAGATAACTTGAAGTATTCTATATTCACTAGCATGTCATATTTCTAACTTTCTGGTCTTTATTTAGCATACAGTATCTCACACATACTACCAGTAATATGGCTGACATACTAAGTAACTACGGAGAAAGGTGACAAATTTCTCTTTTGGTACATGCAGTTAAAAGTGTTTTTAGTGACTGTATGTAACCCATTATGACTGCCTGTGTATCAGTATGTGACAGGCATTTTACTGGTATGTGTATATTATTTGAACTTCCTGCATTGGCAAAGTACTTTGATTTGTATATTAATAAATTATATGATATACACCATGACTTTGTATCCATTGATGTTCATACTTCCACAACCAGGGTGCTTAACCCATTAAGTGGCAGAGCTTCCCCATTGACGAGTAAAATTGTCTGGCGTTAGAAAAGTAAAAAAATAGATGGGGCGCATTGCGGTTCAATGGGTTAACACATAAAAGAACACACACAGAAGAAAACCCATATGAATGTGTTGTTTACATGTGCAGGAAATGTTCACATGTGATCAATTCAAAAAGACTAAAATAATACACACTGGATAAAAAAGTTTATGAATTTGTTATTCCATGGTCAAATGTTTAGTACACTAATGAACATAAGGAACAATACTGGGAACAATATTTGCCAATAGTCCTGGTAAAAATATTTATTAGACCTGACAATTTAATTGAGAACACTATTTGCAATCAAATAATAATACATTTTTAATTAGATCAACCCTCACTTGCACTTGGCAATTACTGACAGGGTTAATATTACAGTCATAGTCAATCTTAATACACATATAGTTCAGTATAGTAGGCAGGAATAAGCCAAAGTCAGTGACACATTATTTCACAATATTCTGCCATTAGTAAATAAACTTTGCCTTGCAAGACCTAGAAGAAAATGGTAAAGGTTTAGAGATTAAAAATCTTGCATCACTATAGCTGATAAACCCAATATTGTTACAGTACGGTAACTGTCTTTAAGGGTAAATTTAAATATCTGACTGATATAAGACAAAAATAACAAAGTAGCCCGATTGCTACGGGTATAGCCTGTAAACACGACTGTCTTTGGGGCACATCACATATCTACTCAGTATCGCATATACAAAACAAGCAAATGACTGATGGTGACACTGGGAAACACTGCGGCTTACTGAGTTAACACAAAAGGTGGACCGACAGTCCATGGATGTATTGTGGCTGTATCATTGGTATATAAAAACATAAGCCTCACATGGGTGGTTTTCCTTGCTACTTTCAGAACTTAAATCATTAAGCGCCAGCCCTCTCCCCTTGACAAGTAAAATCGTCTGCTGTTAGACAGAGCAAAATAATAAAGTAGGGCGCATCAGGGCGCAGTGCGACTCAATGGGTTAACTAGACACATAGACATATAAGCCTGTCAACCATTAAGTGCCAGCCCTCTCTGTTGACAAGTTAACTTGTCTGCCGTTAGATAAAGACTGACAGAGTAAAATAATAACATAGGGTGCATCAGGGTGCAATGTGACTCAATGCACTATAACTACAGTAGACACAAAGACATATAGGGTAGTTAATCATTAAGTCGTTTAAGCACCAGTGCTCTCCCCTTGACAAGTAAAATGGTCTGCCGTTAGACAGAGTAAAATAATAAAGTAGGGCGCATCAGGGCGCAGTGCAACTCAATGGGTTAACTAGACACACAGACATATAAGCTTGTCAACCATTAAGCGCCAGCCCTCTCTGTTGACAAGTTAACTTGTCTGCCGTTAGATAGAGACTGACAGAGTAAAATAATAACATAGGGTGCATCAGGGTGCAATGTGAGTCAATGCACTAACTAGACATAAAGACATATAGGGTAGTTAATCATTAAGCCGTTTAAGCACCAATGCTCTCTCCTTGACAAGTAAAATCGTCTGCCGTTAGACAGAGTAAAATAATAAAGTAGGGCGCATCGGGGCGCAGTGCGACTCAATAGATTAACTAGACACATAGACATATAAGCTAGTTAACTATTAAGCGCCAGCGCTCTCTGTTGACAAGTTAACTTGTCTGCTGGTAGATAGAGACTGACAGAGTAAAATAATAACATAGGGTGCAATGTAACTCAATGCACTAACTAGACACATAGACATATAGGCTAGTTAACCAATTAAGCTGCGCCAGCACTCTCCCCTTGACAAGTAAAATCGTCTGGCGTTAGACAAAGTAAAATAATCTGGCGTTAGA